TCAGGATAAACGGCCTCCCTACTTTTGGAAGTGCGTGGTTCGGCGACAGCATGCTCCTGAACTCGCCTTGGCCTCCCGAACCTGAAGGCCCAGCCCGGGTATAAGCAGCCACGACGTAAGGGGCCCCTGCCGCTTCCTGTACTGGAGGGGCCATCTCGGGCTCCCTGGGTGGATCCATTGGTGGAGAGCTCGGTACCTCGGGCTCCGCATCTCGGGGCGGTTCGGCACGAGTCCGTTTGGCAACTCGCTTCCTCCTCTTCGTGGCATGAAACAGGTTTCCACCACGAGTCATTTCTGTGTCCATCACACCTGCAAAAAGAGCTCGGCATCTGGAAGACGAAAGAATGGAAAGCAAAACAAAGGCAAGACTCTAAGCAAGGAACCTACCCGAACTCAGGCCGGCCTGGATGTGCTTGGCCTCCGTCAGATATTGGTGACATTTTAGCCCGAGCCGGGCCCAGTCCTAGAGGCCCTTCGCCGTCTCCCTATCTAGCGTAACACTGGGGTCAGGGGCAGCCAACCCCCACCCGGTTTGGAACGGCCACCCTGTTGCACTTCGTACCCCGAAGTAATCCCGTTTCCACGCCGGGACCTTGTTGGGAAGATTGTGTAAAAACTTGAACCCCGGGCGGGGAGACAGGTAGTATGCCCGCCTACGCCCGGGAAGGGGACCCGCTTGCTTCTTAAGCATGAGAATAGAAGATAAGATCTCTAGGTCTAAAGGCAGAATGCGTTCGCAAAAGAGGGAGATAGTCCCAACCAAATTGCGGATAGAGTTAGGGTGGAGCTGACCGATGGTGACACCAAAGTGGTTCATAACCTCAACAATAAGAGGGTGGAAAGGTAGGCGCAGCCCGGCAACGAGCTGGTCCTGGAATATCACGATCTCATCTGGACCGTGTTCCCAAGGGAAGTCGCTCGAGGGTATAAAGTAAGTATACTCCCCGGGCAGGTTGAACTGGGTGATAAGGGAGTAAAGCCCCTCAGGCGTCATGGTTGAGGGCCCGGACTTGTCTAACGTCCGACCTCGACGGGAGGAGGATGCCAAACTACTCGAGGCGACTCGCCCTACGGGTTAGAACTCTTCCTCGAGCTCACTATGGCTATCGGGGGCTGCAGCTTGGTTCGTGGAACCTACATCTGACCCCCTCAAGAAGCTGTCTAAGCTGTCCGAGCTAGACATCGGGAGGAAAGGAAAACCAGGAAGAAAGTACTGACTCACCCGGAAAAAGCCAACGGACTACGGAAGGTTGACGCGAGCTAAAATTTGGACGCGAGCTCAAGAAGCGAACGCAGGAGAATGGCGATGGAAAGCGACTGGGGGTTCCCCACTAATTATACCCATAGTGATCGAAAACCGACGGCTCTGATCGAGGCAAATCCAACAGCTCACGATCAAGCTGACCGCACGCCTCCTAAGACCGAGACGTGACTGGCCGCACATCTTTGGAAACCGAAGCGGCACCGGCACACGTCTTCCAGCATTGAAGTCAACAGTGGCCGTTTTTTGAATTTGAAATAATGCCCGTCGTCACGTCTCCCAACATTTAAAGACGGATTGGCACGTTTTCTGACTTTTTGGCACTCGAGGAATCCGGAAATCTCCTGACGTACGCACACTTCACGCCATGAGTCAACCGGTTTGAAGCACGGGTCAAATCCACCCGTCACCTCGTGAACTCCCCGTGCTAGGGCAAGACCCTTAGCGCAAGGAGTGAGGGGGCAATTGATGGAGGAAGATTTGGTCCGACCTCTTGGCCACCCAACACGTGGAAGCAACCGAGGGTGACCTGGCAGAAGCGACAGCTCGACACGGCAGTGCGCTCAAGGCGCGAGCTCCGAGAGGAGGAACCAACGGTCCGAGCTCCCCAAAAGGAGCCTGAACTCTCCCTTTGATCCCGAGCCTTACGAGGAGCGCAAAGGGCAACAACCCGAGCTGGCCCATCCCAGGGCAGTTCGGGCCACACTTCTATCCGAACTCAAGACTTCACCTCGCACACCACTCCGGCACTTCGTCTCCAGGCTGCCGAACTGAACAACTGTACCTGACACCAAAGGTGTCCGTATCCTGAGGCGGCGCGCCTGATTGACTTAGGATCTAACGCTTGACAGCCGCACTTCAACGACCACCTGCCACCGCCACCTCTAGTTATAGAGACGGCTCTGACAAAGAGAGCAGTGGCGGTTGTCTGCCCCAACAAAGGTGATGACACCCGAACTGGCAGAAGTGCAGAGGTAATGGTATCTGACCTGACAGGAGCTTGGGAGTGAGTGCGCGAAGTGGTTATAAAAGGCCCTCTTCCCCCCAAGAATGGAGGTACGTGATAATTTTGTGCCATTTGATTTTTTGTCTTGCCTTTGAGAAAGTACTGACTTGAGCTTCGGAACACTTTCACCGGGTTCCTCCCCGAAAACTACTCGTTTTCTTCCCCGTTTCAAACACCTTTTACTCCAGTCAAAAACAAAACCGTTGACAGGTAGGACCGACAGAATTGCGCTCCATCAGATATCATATTAAACAAATATTGCAATACATGATTCATGAAAAAACAGGATTCCTAAACCTGACCCCGTATAGTTGGACAATAATTATGATGATAGTAAATGATGATTTTGGGCCACCAACATTTATTGTCCAATATAAAAGATACTTTAACAATAACGGGAGGTAAGGAAAAGGACAAAATTTATTGATAGATAGAGTGGCATTTTTTCCTTTAATGAAGATGCATTGATACAAGAAAAGGCCCACATAAGTGGGGCCACTCAAGTTTTCTTATAATTCTCGCTTCCAACTTTCTTTTACAAATTTGGCGAATAAAATTTGTTTTTATCTGGAACCTTCCTTCATGAGCTTTTCGACATATGAATTACAAATTTGGTTAGCTAGTCATCATGGAACATTTTATGAAATTTTGATACATTAATTCTGAGTTTGAAAGGAGTATAAATGCAAATATGTAGAGTGTAAATATTATATTTTGTATTATTTTTTATGTATTTATGTTGTATATATTTGTATTTATACTCTTTCTAAAAGCTCAGTTATAAAATATAATGTTTTGTATTTTACATATTTATATTTGTACTTTTTCAAATGGAACCTAGGTATTTACTTAAAATAACTTTAAAATGTTCAATCAAACAAAAAGAAGCGAAAGAATGAGCAAAATACTTATCAGGATGTTGGGGTTGGACTATGATATGGTAAATATATGATATCTAAAAAAGTTTTGACCAGTCAACTGGAATGACAAACATGATAGCTAATCAGGTATTTTTTATCAAAATTCATGATGGATTTTGATTTGTCAAAACTCTTCCCTTATCATATCTTTTTCGCATCATAGATTTTCCCTATGATGTTGAAATGTGGAAACCCATTAAAGAAACACCATCTATATATTAAAACGGATACTTATAAGTTACTATGCACTAAATAAATTACTAGAACCATACTTTTCTGGGCCCATCGGGCTAATTCTAAACCCATAATTAAGGATGTTAACAGGCCAGGTTCATATCAACCTGATTTCGACCCAAATCCACACCAACACAAACTACCCGACCCGGTAAATGGAGAGTACTAATACCATTACGCCGTATATAGCGCATATATACTCAAATCTCTCTCTCTATATATGCCAATGGGTCGGTTTTGGGCCTTTTGGCACGGGTTTACCTCAACCCGAAGCCCACCATAACCGAATTAGGTCTAACATCTTTCTATCCAAAAGGATTGGATCAAATCGGAAGGAGTTGGGTCAGTGTAACTCTACCAATTAGGGTTGTAAATAAGTCAGATTATATCAGATTTTAATCCAAATTTGATCTGGTAAAAGCTGGATTCAAATACCTGTATTGATCCTAATAAATTAGATTGGATCAGAAAAATAGGATATATCATTTGAAAATATGCGGACAGTCTCAATGCAGATTTCTGAATTCTATTACAAACTTATAAACATTCAAAATGTCAAAACCCGTCACTTATAAATTCCCAACTGTCCATTGATGAATTGGCATTAATTGAGAGCTAATACCTACTTCAACTGTACCTTAGTATAAAAATTCTGACCCTAAACTGAACGAGATAACATCTCCGCCCCACAGCACATCCCGCAGTGTATTGTGAACGTCTCCGGATGATAGTACTAATCCCGATGATGGTATCATCCGGAGATGTTCACATTAGACGGCGGGATGTGCTGTAGGGCGGAGATGTAAAGTCGGGCTGAACCCTCATTCACCCTTTATCATTTAGCTTATCCGATCCGTTTGCATTTTGCAATCCTTCACCGATTTCACCTGATTCACCGACATCCGTACCGAAGATACGCAATTCTGTATACTATATTCTCGGATTTAAATGCACCCAACTTTGCACTGGCACGAATCTCACATCATACGATATCAATCAAACGGTTTCTAGCAACACAACACATCGGGCCATCTTTGTCGCTCTGACACCCAATTTATGGTATGCCCGTCACGATTCCTGTGAAGCGCGGAATCGAAAATTTTAACGGGAGATTCTAGGCAAATGTTTTCGAAGGCAACTCGACGAATGTCAAAAGACGAAAATACCCTAATTTGCATGCAAATTTCGTGTTAGACGGCCTACAGAACTAACTTGTAGTCGTCATTCGTCAAAGCTTCAAACTTCAAAGATACCTTCTTCTGTTAGGTGGACGGTCCAGATTGGCCACGTCACGCATCAAAGGATAACAACTTTTCAGTTAGAAAAGATTCCAATCGAACAACAGTCATAAAACTAGATATGTAGAATCCCAGCTGGGGCCAACTCAAGAACCAAGCAAACACGTGGAGGATGATTTGCTGTTGTTAGAATTCACGTGCCCATCGTTGGATCATGCCGTGGCAAATAGTAGGGTAATTTCGTTAATATAACCAAAATCAGGGGCATTTTCGTACAAAGCAAAACTCAGGTGCCATATTCTCTTTCTTCCGTTGTTTGTTGTTTTCGGAGTTCGGACACGCGAATTGCTACTTTATTTGCCTGGTTCGGTTTTTGTTGGCTAACGGCTCTTACTACTCGAATCCGCCATGGATATACCTTTTAAGCCCTGCTCTCTCTGATGAAAATCTTGTTCTTCGATCGATTCTGTTGAAATTTCAGGAAAAATGGGATCTTTGGTCCCATATTTGGACCTCAATGTCCTTCCTGATCGATTAGTCATTCCCAAAATCGAGCCTAAAGAAGAGCCTCTCGACCACCAACCTTGCTTTCCATGCCCTAATCCTAATTCCGACTATAATTCCTACTCGAACTATGGTCCTGCTCATGAGCCCATCTCGAGCTCTGATCCCAATCCTCCCCAAGAAATCTCTCCGGTTTCGGAGATTACTACCGAAGAAAGCGATTTGTATTCGGAGTTCTTTAGGATTTCTCAGCTCTTTCAGTCTGCTTTCGCGAGGAAATATGGAGATGGGGCGGTTCTTGATCCGAATCCGCAGGCAATTGTTCCTCAGCCAGAAGAGAGTCAGGAGACTAGGGTTTCTACGGCTATTGTTAGACACAATAAGATGAGAACTCGGTCTTCGGAGATGGTCAGGCTTACAACTATGGGGATTGAGGACCAGAGGTACTATAGGGATGTAGTGCGGAGGACGAGGATGCTTTATGAATCCCTGCGGGCTTTTTTTATGCAAGAAGAAGAAGAAAAGCTACAAGGTTCGGGCAAGAGATGGAGGCCGGATCTGAAAGCTGCGTCTTTGATGAGGGATCTTGGCCTTTGGTTGAACAGAGAAAAGAGGTTTGTGGGCTCAATTCCCGGGGTTAACGTTGGGGATGTGTTCTTTTATCGGATAGAATTGTGTATCCTTGGTTTGCATGGACATATTCAGGCTGGGATTGACTATGTGCCGGCAAGCCAGAGCTCGAACAGGGAGCCGATTGCGACGAGCATTATTGTGTCTGGTGGGTATGAGGACGACGAGGATGCTGGGGAGGAGATAATCTATACCGGTCATGGTGGGCAAGACAAGTTTGCGAAACAGTGTGTTCATCAGAAGCTTGAAGGGGGGAATCTTGCATTAGAGCGGAGTATGGCTTACGAAATCGAAGTAAGGGTGATTCGGGGGATCAAATGTGACAAAAGCGTCACTGGTAAGGTTTATGTTTATGATGGCCTGTATAGAGTTCTTAATTCTTGGTTTGATATTGGTAAGTCTGGCTTTGGAGTTTACAAATATAAGCTTGTAAGAATTCCTGGTCAACCCGAAATGGGCAGCTCTATATTTAAGGTAGCTCAGAGTTTGAGGAAAGATCCTGTATCGGTCAGACCGTCTGGTTACTTGTCTCTTGATATCTCAAACGGCAAGGAGAAGTTGCCAGTTCTCCTTTATAACGACATTGATTCTGATCGGGAGCCAATGTCGTTTGAGTACATAGTGAAGCCTGTTTACCCACCTTTTGCATTTCAACAAATCCATAATGGTGGATGTGATTGTGTGTCTGGTTGTTCTGAGGGTTGTTATTGTGCCCAGAGAAATGGTGGTAAGTTTGCCTATGATCGCAATGGAATTCTCTTGAGAGGGAAGCCTCTGATAATTGAGTGTGGCAGCTCCTGCCGTTGCCCTCTGAGTTGCCGGAACCGTGTAAGTCAAAAAGGTCTACAGAAAAGATTGGAAGTGTTTAGGTCAAGGGAAACAGGTTGGGGAGTTAGATCGTTGGATTTGATCGTAGCCGGTACCTTTATTTGTGAATACACAGGAGTTGTGCTCACCAGGGAACAAACAACAATATTTGCAATGAACGGTGATTGTTTAATCTATCCAAATCGGTTTCCTGAAAGATGGGCTGAATGGGGTGACTTATCTCAAGTGTTCCCTGATTTTGTACGTCCAACATATCCCTCTATTCCTCCATTGGATTTTGCAATGGATGTATCAGGAATGAGGAATGTTGCATGCTATTTCAGTCATAGCTCAAGCCCTAATGTGATGGTGCAATTTGTTCTATATGATCACCATAATATATTTTATCCTCATCTTATGCTTTTTGCACTTGAGAACATCCCACCTATGACGGAGCTCAGCCTGGATTATGGGGTGGCTGATGAATTGATGGGGAAGCTTGCTATTTGTAACTAGATAGTCTGAAGTGGTGGCACATTTTGAATGCGGACAGCACAGTCTTTTGCGAGATGATGTTTCAAGCTGTTTGTTTGGATCAACTGAACTTTCTTTCCTTGGTAAGATTCACTCTCTTTTTTTTTTTTGGTATGGATACATACCTGTTTTCTCCACCTCTTCACTATTTATGGTTAAGCATTATTCTTTTCTTGATTGTGTTGTCCTTTATCTACCTGTTGTTATTTGTTGTTGGATGTTTCGGAGATGCAACATGCAAAATTGTTTAACCCGTGTATGGGTACTGATACACTTTTTCTTTTGTATGCAACTTTACCACAGTAATGTTCTACGTTAATTTTTTAGAAATCAAGGGAGATTGGTAGGTGGTTGAACAATTTACACAGTGGTAAGGGATGGGAATTTAGGAATAGGAAAAGTAAACAGATCCTGGGGAACCTGGGGCCCTCTGGCATAGGAGGTACATTTAGAGATGAAAACAGCAATATACTTGTGGTATACTCGGCACCAGTGAAAATGCACTATGGGTGAGATAAATGTGCTCTTACTTGGATTGGGAATGAGCAGAATGATGAACATTAATAGATTAATGATAGAGGGAGACTCAAAAGTGGTGATGAGATACATGATTAATAGAGAGAGCAACACCATGGCAGCATAGGCAAGCTATAAGAAATGAGGCATTTAACAAAGGCAATGTAAAGCATTATTGGGTGAAGTGGTCTGCGAACAGCTTGGCAGATGGATTGGCACGGCAAGGGGTGAACAGAAGAGAAACCTTTTGGGTTATTTTGTAATACATAAACAGAAAAGGGTTTAGGTGTTTGGTTAATGCATAGGCAAAGAGATGCTTGACATGTTGTGCATACATCATTCTTCTATTTCTTAATAAAGTTTTAAAGTTAACAACCAAAAACAGATCCTAGGACTCAGGATCTAAGGTCAGGATTTAAGAATCTTAGGACAAGGAACTAGAGGATAAAATTGAAAATGAGTGTTAGGTGAGTTGGAGGTAGCAACTTCATTTGTATGTTAATGTAATGTAGAATCACAGACTTGGGTACTGAAGCAAGGTCGACTAGAATGCCATCATTCATGCCATTATACAGGGTGTGTGGGAGGAGAGAAACAGGATAGTTTTCAACGACAGAGCAACATCTTTTGAGCCATTGGAGGTAAGCTTCTTGGCATTCTCAGCTCTTGGGTGTTGAGTAGGAACCTGGTAGAAATCCTTAAATCATATCTGGATGATCCCCACCCAAGAGTATCCCCCCCCCTGCTGTTCTTGCCTTGTCAGTCTCATTAGAACTCCAATTTGGTGGAAGCTTGTTTAGCCATTACTGGGACAGATGTGCTTGGGGTGTACTTTTGATGACAAGATTTTCTAGGTTTTCAGTTACTGACTAAAAAACAGCATTTTCTGGGCTTATAACGGGCCTGTAACTGATGCTGGTGCCATAAAAAGCTGAAGTGAAGGTCCTCCCTACTAGGATCAGAATACATACATACAAAAGATGTTTCAGCTCAGATCCAATATTTTCTTTTTGATTGGTAAGGATCAAGTATTTTATTGATTTGTTAAAAATGAATGATGCTGCAGAAATTTGAACAAAATTGTGCCTAGCATCCCTCTTGATAGGCTGAGTGTTTTAAGAGGCACAAAAGGTGCATGCCTGTAGGCGTGTTTTCAGGTGAGGCATGAGGAAAACACTGAGGAGCAACATAATACAAGCGTGGACACCCTTAAGAGTCAAGACTTGCACCTCCTCCTGTATAGAAGTGTGTATAAAGATATCCACCTTGTATACAGCATGTGCTTTTTATTTGCCTAAAAAGCACTTTTAGTGTTTCTTTATTTGTTATAAATCAGTATATATGGGTAGAAAAATACCATTTTTTGTGCTCCCCATTACATGATAAATATAACATTTACTATTGCTTTGATAAATTTATATTATTCAATTATTGTTTTTTCTTATCAAATTGATTAGGCATTGAAATTGTATTTTGCATCAAACTTTCATGATTCATGATTCATGATTCATGATTCATCTATTGTTAGAATGGTTTGAAGGGGTTTTGCTTGGGAATATGTCAAGGGGAGGAAAAGAAAGGATACACTATTTTTTCTATTTATTTTATTTTTAATAATTTATTAATTAAATATCAATGCTTAGGAGTTATGAGGCTTACCGTTCTTATGTTATGGTTATGCATCATGCCTTGTAATAGGAATTCCTTGCATCACACCTATGCTTTTAAAACATTGGATAGTCTAGCCTGTGCTACTTATTCACCTTTTGTATTCTTTTGGTTTAGCAGTTACAATTACCCCCCAGGAAACTGATTTCTATTCACCACTTGCCTTGCAAGTGCATCAGAAATGTTAGTGAACGATCTTTGAATCCAGTTGTATGTAGCTCTTAGTTCCCCAGACAACAATTTGGCTTCCCTCATAATGTACTTATTTCCAAGCATCTATAGGGTTGTTTGTAAGACGGATCACCCTACAACTTTTGAGTTCCCTCCCACTGTAGTTTAAGGATGTCCTTAATATCAGACCATGCCGAACTACTAGTAGTTCAGTCCTTGTAGAATCACCATATCCAATGGGTACTGAGAATATAGCTAAAATATCTAAATTACAATTCCTGAACCTCCCAATCCCTAACTTTTTTTTTTTGAGAAATTCCTAATCCCTAAATTGCCTGGATTTCCTAAACTGCAACAACCAAAATAAGTTCAGATCGAATACGTTCCATGTGGATTTAATTCTATTGCAGAGGAATTAGCACAATATGGACTTGGCATACCTTTTTGTACAGTGACAGGTTTTTGACCCAAACTTACCAGCTAAGGTAGCCTTAAAAGTAGAGTCTTAAATAACCAAACAATATGAGTTCATATTACCATGATTGACCTAGAAGCTTTTTATTTTTTGACAATACAAGTCTCAAATCGTGTTTGAATTGCTTGATACAGTCATACAGAACTTCTCTGGTAATTAGTGAAATCATCTATTTGATACTCCGCAGTTGAGGGACATGGCATGCATTTGTATAAAAAACTAAGACCATAGACAAAGTAGCAAACCTCTGAGTCAACTCAACTCAATAAAGCAATATCCAAACTACATTGGGTTGGCTACACAAATCCTGTTTTGCCTTTGAACTCCATCTAGGGGCATATCCAGTGGCATCCATGGGATTATCTTCACTTTCGTTGTTTGGAGTACTACTTGGTCTTTAAATTCTTGTGTTTATCTGCTCTTTGTCTCAGATAGTAAGCATCATTTGGACAATTTGGGAGGAGAGAAATGCTGGAATCTTTAAAGAGAAAGAGAGGAGGCATTGATTGAATGTATAACCATCAGAGTTGCCCAGTGGCTAAGATCTCATTAGAAGTTCTTGGATTACTTGGTGGATGATATTTTGAGGAAGTGGCTAGTACCTCTTCAAAGAAAGCAAGATTATTAGACCCTAGTTGCCACCAAATGCTGGATTCCTAAATTAAACTTTGATGGGAGCAGTAGAGGCCAGAGGGAATCTAGGTCCCTCGGGTATTGAAGGCATTTTCAGAAATGAGCTAGGTCATGTGGTGGCACTATTCTCAGGACCGATTGACATTAGTGACTCTTTGAAGGCTGAAATAAAAACAGTTATTGAAGGAACTCAGAGAGTGAAGGATATGAATGTACAGAAATTGGTCATTGAAGGAGATTCACAGTTGGTGATTAACTCTTCTAAAAATGGGAAATGATCTTTGGGTGTACGAAAATGAGCTAAAAAAGTTTAAATGGTTAACCAGGGGTATAGACATAAAACTTCACTGGGTGCAAAGGTAGGCTAACAGCATGGCTGACTCCTTAGCAAAGCAAGGGGTTGGGAGGGATCAAATGTTTTGGCTTGTAATACTTTTTTTATTTTTTTGGGTAAACCTACCTTGTAATACTTTTTTAATATCTTAATGAAAATTTCCAGTTACTGATAAAAAAACATCATTCACTTTTGTTGTGAATAATGGTTATAGAGTGGCTGCTTTTCATGATTTGATCATAGACAATTACATGACAAATTTAGTATCAGCAGTTATCAAAAGCTCAAGTTCCTCTATAAAGGTGATTGTAACCATGTTCATCTTGTTTCACATTTTTTCCTGTTTAGTTGGTTTTTAATCTTCCTCAGCTCCGAAGTTTCATAATAGTTAATACTTTTTTTCTACTTCTGGTTTTCTGATTGGTAGCAATGACAATTTATTAATTTATGATGAAAAATGAGTGATACAACTTAAGAATGTCTAAGCCATCCTCTTTGATAGGCTTGCCCCAGCTCTTTGTCCACTGGAATGTCTTCTATATTTCATTTTATATATACAATCAAACTCCTTGGGAGACAAACCTCCATTACAACTGGCTTCTACCTTCTTCTACTTCTGTTTTCAGTATTTTATGCTTTGGATTTTCTTTGTCAGACAGTTGACTTTTATGTCATTATGTTAAACTTGAATATTTTGTTCCAAAGAACTTTTCTTTCCAAGTTCCAGGTTGAGTTCTCAGGTCAAAGAGCTTTTGATACTCTGGTCCAATATGCTCTGGTACAAATTTGGATTGATACTCTTCCAAAAAAATGTAAAAAAAAAAAAGAAAAAAACTAAACGTATTTACCTGTATATATGAGGAGAGGGGCATCTTACAATCTAAACTCGAAGTCTTTCCCTATTTTTATTGATCTTAAACTTCAGCATTAAGGAAGTAAAGGACAGGGAAGCGTAGCAAGGAGATATGATGTACAGACCTTTCTATTTACCCCAAAATATCAATGTTAATACAACCCCATAACTAAAATTCCCCTTATTTCATTCCATGTTATGATGCCATTTCCTCCTACCTTTATCTATTTTCCAGAATTTGGATTGACCCATGCAAGGTGTATTTGTTTCTTCTTGAACTTTTTTCTGTGCATTGTATCTCCTTTCCCATTTTGTATCCTGTGTACTTCCCTTTCATTTTCTGGGCTTCTTCCCAAGCATAACTTTACAAGGAAGTGCAAGGTAATTAGGGGGTCAGTGAGGGTTAAAAATAAAAATGAACTTTAGGAATATCTTTTGGATACTGAGGAAAGTTGGGTGCTTTTGACTGCAGTGGTAGCTCTATCGTGGTCGAGGATTAGAGCTTACCACTGCCTAGAGGCATGAGGTGTAGTTCAGAATGCAAGGGGTGTAAGCCTCCTGGGCACAAGGAAGCATAAGCCTCTTCAAGAGGGGGAGGACACAAAGATTAAAATATCTATACACCTGATACCCAAAGTTGTGTATCGGTGCCTATCAGTATCACTGATACTCCACTTTTTTTTTGTTATTTTATAGGCATTAGATGGATGAGAGAAAGTATACCAAAGTGTTAAAACTTTTAAAATATCTATGTTTTGTATTGGTATATCCATAAGTATCTGAGTACACCGATATGGATACGATGCACTTGATGCGGGGCATATCGTATATCCGAATTGATATTTTAATCCTTGGGAAGAGGTGTAAGCCTTCTTCTTTTCTTTTCTTTTCCTTTTTCTTTCTTCCTTCCTTTCTTTCTTTCTTTTTGCATGAGGCGTACTAGACTTACCAGAGGCACATGCAAAAGGAGTTTGAAGCATACGCCTCAAATTCCTTTAAAAACATTGTTAAAAAGTTGTCTCCTCCCCCTTCCCTAATTTCCATGGAGAATGTCATTTGTCAGATAGTTTTAGTCCAGACAGACAAACAAAACCTGGTTTCTTTATTCTAAATGAGAATCAGATTGCCAAATAGATTTTATCTTTCTAAGATTGTCTAGGATTGGCATTTTATTGGTGGTGCAGTGGTCCTACTGTTGGTACGCCGATTTTTTTTTTTTTTTTTTTTAAATTTGGCAGAAAACCATATTTCCAATTTCTGATGTCAAAGTGTATCAAGTTCTGTTGCAACACAGTTCACCGAGGTGCAATTAGTCAGAAGTTTTGACAAAGAACAAGAGAAACTTTGTCAAGCATAGAAGTCCTTGTATTATTTGACCAGTTGTGTAGACAACTGCGTATATACAAGGGTTGTGTTGATAGCTTAGCCGTCAATCAAGAGCTGGGTCTGAGTTATGGTGGAACATACACTTCCACTAAAACATGTGCAGATTTAGACATTTTGGTTAAACTTGTACTGAAAACAGGTTGCATATTTGTATCTTGGTTGCAGAATTGGTGATGATTTAATGTTTAAATCATATCTGGTCCCATGTTACAAAATCCTGAAACACTGTTGGTATTAAAGTACTATTTTCCTATGCAGGTGATATTTTTTTGTTCCATCCTCCTACACGTAAGTTCTGAGACTCAGGACGGCTAACTTCTCTCTTCATTTTTTTTGTCACGAGAAGAGAATGTTGCAAAGGGCTTAGACCTTGGATCACCAAGAAAGTGGAACCTGCCATCTTTATTATTGCTGTGGCTATGTGTTGTGGAAACTGAGGTTGAACACAACCAGGGATGCCAAGAAGTAATTGCAACTGGGAAACTGAGGTTGAGTTCTTCAGTTTATCATCGTCTTCCTTCTGCACTCTGAAAGGAAATTCCTGTAAACTCTTTTTTTTTTTTTCTCTTTCCTTTTTCCCTTTTTGCTCCCTCCCACCCCCAATTACACGAGGTTCTCCAATGTTTATACGCCAGTTTTTCTTTCTTCCTTTTTTTGTTCTTTTATTGGGGTAGGTGTAGGGGTGGTTGGTTGTAAGCCTGTGCCGCGTTAATGTACAAGCTCTTGTCTCTTGAAGGTTGAAACCAAAACATGTACATATAAGACCATGTTTGATATAACAGCTTGTATCAGCGCCTGCAAAATGGATGATGGATAATTACATGTGTTATTCACTTATTCCTCTATTGCATTATCTGCATTTGGTTGAGACATTTTATGTCGTTAATAACAAAAACTAGCAACGCAATGGGCTCTAGTATTTGTTTTGTAATGGTAATAAGCAATTCTAGACCTCACCTGTGTTTTTGTGTTCAATAGGCCCGCATACAGGTACATAGCTATTCATAATTTCATATATGATATAGACTAATATGTATCCTCTCTCTCTCTCTCTGTCCTTTTGGGTTGGGCTGCCTAAGGCCTCAACCCTAATCCAAGTATCCAACCCAAAGTCTAGTTGGTTTATGTTTTTCAATCCTAATTCCTAACCCTAACCCGACGTTCAACCTGACAGTCCTGACCTGAACATTTTGGGTTGGGATGATTGTGGGCTAAGCTGGCCCAAATTGTACTCCCAATAAATCTATAAGTTTAGAAATTATAATGGGTTTAGCCTTACTTCGTATGATGTAGGCATGTAGCTTACAACATATCTCTAATATATTAATTCACGCAAGCTGTTTCTTTTTAAGGATAAATTACACAAGTTGTTGAAGTATGTCTTTCTTTAGTGTTTTGTATCTTATTTATAGGCAAGTAAAGCTGTTGAATTTGTTAAGATTTTGGTGGGTTCTCAACTTTCCATAAGATATCCTTTGGTGATTATTCCATTGTTTCCGAAATGGAACCCGGATCTAGGGAAGGCAAACAGTGTGCGGATATGCTCAGAGAACGACATCCAGTCATACATCAGAAACATTTACCGTACTTTTATGTTTAATTTATGAGGAGATGTTCTGAATGTTTGGCTGGATGTCATGCTTTCAGTGTGTTTGCACCTTTTTTTGTTTTTAGCAGATTCTAACTCTCGCGAATGTCTATGCATCTGTTGAAATTGCCTTTTGGACACGTGCATCACCCATGACATAGCTAATTCCTATAGCATTTCGATGGTATGGTTTTCTTTAAAAAGTTACTCCTTTTGAGATAGAGTGCAGATGGAGCAATTCCAATGGAACTTAAGTTTTCTTGCTGCTGGGGGAACCTCAGAACTGACAAAAGCCAACGAGAGGAACATTTAAGTAACTGTGCAAATAGGTAAGGAGGAGAGCTGGAGAAGCCATTACAGAATTTTGGTTGATCAACTCATGCCCCTTCAAAGTAGTGATGGCCCTTCTGGCCATTTGAAGCCAGAAGGATCGATTGTTGGGGCCGTGGATGGCTTCCCTGATAATTTCAAGTTGGAGGGATTAAATGTTGAGGATGTAGATAGCTTCCTGGATCAGTTCAAATTGAAAGGTTCAAACCATTTCAAATTGGAGGGATCGAACATTGGAGCCACATCAACCATCGGCAACAGCCCTACAGGTGAATCACTTAACTGTTGTACCATTAACATCTACGTAAACAACAATGTCCAAGGTATTAGCAACTCCATTGTATTGGGGAGTGAAGTGACGATGAGAGATCCGGGTGCTCATTTGTCTTTCAGAGGTCTGAATATGAACAGAGGATCCTCGGAGCAAAGAGCCTTAAAGAAGAAGAATGCAGAAGGGGAGATGAAAGAGAGCAAGTTAGGTTTTGTTATCACTTTAGTCTCTGTGGCTGTAGGTCTTCTCTTGATGATGTTATTGCTTTGATATTTGGAATCTGGGGTTTTGCAGTTAAACTAACAAAGTATCATTTGTAATTTCTGAAGTTGGATTGTTTCTTAATTATATGTAAAGGTTCATTTGATTTTTGTAAGCTTCAAACTGTGAATTATGATCTGTTGACAAGATACATATGAGAAGCTTTCTTTCTCTCTTCATTTTCCCTCTTTCTTTAAATTTATCATTAAGGGTGGATGTGAATTCCAAACTGGTTTCAAGATATCTGGTTTGCTAATTGGTTAACTTTGGTTTCATAGATGTAGTCAAATGAATGCAAGTTGGTTCCTTTGGTATCTGGGCCACATCTGAAAATAGGGATATACCCTATATAAGGAATTCTAGTTAACTTAGTATATGTTTGGCATCGATGCTGCAGATATGCTAATGTGTGGGTTGGAAACACCACTTTCTGAGAAAATGGTGTTTTTTCTTTTGGAAGTATTGCGGTCAGGTAGGACATTTCCTGAAGCAACAGTAACACTTTCCATTTGGTACCAGTGCTCCATGTCTGTTTTCAGCATTGGTGCCCATTATAGGAAGTCCACGTCACTGCCACATCACGTTCTCATTGGTAGCAACGAGTTGAATCTGAGAAAACACCAAGTTTGGCGTTGCTCCAAACTACACCTTCTCGATTTCCAAGGTGTGGCTTGGAGCACCGTTTTTTCCGACGTAACACTAATGTGTCACCGTTTTCTGGAGCAATGACATCGATGCCAAACAGACGCTTAGTTTGTGTTAATTATAAAATTGAATAGAAAATAATTATTTATTAACTTCAATTAATATAACTGAACAAAACACATATAGGGGTGTGAATGGCGATTTTGGGTTGGACCCCGTCCAAATCAACATTAATTTGAACAGATTGGACGGACCAATAAGACAATGAATTGGACTAATCCAGGTCCAAAATATTGGATCAGACCTGGTTCACCCATAATGAATTTATATTGGATTGGGTCGGATTGAACCAATATCTTGTCCATTGATAGAAGATAAAAATGCAGGTGTCAATTGAACTGGACCGGTCCAAAATGGTCCAAAATATTCATCGGATTGAATTGAACCTAGTAATCTGTAATGGACTCATATGGAGCT